GATGTGTTGGTTCGAAGGGGCATGTAAATTATCAGTAGAAAAGGCAGTGCTATCAAAGATGGTAACATCAGTACAAAACCACCAAAAGCGCCTGCATTCACAACTATTCTGCATTGAGAGAGTCTTGTCACCACTATTACAGGAAGACTACCAAACACAAAATGACACGTAAACGAGCTACTTCCCTTTTGATCAAGTAGGAAGCCTTAGACTATTCAGACGAAAAAAAAATGGAATAACTTAGAAGTTAGAAGTGCTCAATGTAGCACAGCAAAGTGGTGATAAAGGTGAGGAGGTCTTAAATGACCTAATAATTGAATGAAGTCCATTTTGATGGTGGGAGCTGATGCTTTGAGTTGGAGAGAGTAAATGGCGTTCTGTATGCCTCCACAACCCGCAGTCAGGTGCTAGGAGGAGGTGCTATGAGCATCTGTTGTGTGACTAACCTCATCCACCCATTGTAGTGACATGAAAGGTGCGTCAGTAAGGATCCATTAAACACCTACCAAAATTTGGCTTGTGCGCACAGTGTCGCTTCTCGTCTCGTCAAAATCGCCATTTGAGGAACTAACGCACACACACACACACGTGTTTGTCGTTTTTCATGCAAAATTAACATAAGGTTAGGCCAAAGGAGACTTCTTTTGGCCCACGGTGTTGGAGAAAACAATTGTCTTCATAGATTGGCAAAAAAAACAACCACAATAGCAGACAAGGGACAAATACACACGCGTCTTGAGGCACAAAATGAGAGTAATGCCAAAATGCCCCATTGAAGGGGAGAATAAAAGGATTCGCTTACCGCAAACAGGAAGCATAACTTAATCCTAACTTCAATAATGTAAGAGTAATATTTTTAACTTCTACACTTTTCAGGATTTTTTAAACAATATACAGTTTTTGCCTAGCATAAACAGTCTTGATTCATATCTATGCTAAAAAGTATTGCACAAGAGCACAATCAGCATGAGAACTGTCATTGACTAGAATTTGACAGGAGAGTAGGGCAGCGCTATTGACTCACTTGTACACGGGGCTGAAGGAGATCGCGTAGACGGAGGGCTTGAAAATGCTACCACCATACTGAACCAGACGACGACCATTGAGGTCGTAGCAGTCAATTTGCGCACGTTCACGATCGGCAACACAGACCTGCTCCACACCGTCTGCACCTTCACCTGAAGCGGGCACAAGAGTGATGCTGTGTGCCACTAGAAAGCCTTTTGTTCTCGAGTCTTTCATCCCGTCCACGCCGTCCACGCCCCACTCCATTAAGTAGTCACCATTGGGCGAGAACTTCACTACGCGCTGATTGCAGTAACCGTCTGCCACAAATATCTCCCCCTGGCGGAATTAAATAAAAATTCACAGCATCTATAATAACTTATCCGATTTTTTTTCAAATATTCAGTAATTTAATGACCCATGAAAGGCGGATGCATCGTGAAAATTGATCACACCAGCTTATCCGAGTTCTTTCGGATTTCGATTGGAAGAAACAGTATCACATTATGAATGCATTACCTTAAAAGGCGGACAAACCTCGCAGTGCAGGTAACTACAATATTAACGATTCAACAAGGACAGATTCGCGACAGTTTTTGCATTTCAATGCAGGCATATTTACACAATTTGGTTAATTTCTTTACCGTGCTAGCAACA